TATATATTATACATACAAGCTCAAAGATACAGAATAATCAATACTAATTAATTCAGCGCGCATGGTAGCGCGGAATTGGGCGGATTCTGTAATCACTGTAGGTATCACATATACACCATGTTAGCTTGGAAATCGGAAGAATTATTTACTCCGTCTTGTCTATTTTTAACATGATGTATCTTCGTGGCTATAAATTTCAAATTAAAATTCTATTGAAGTCTATTTTAAATTTAACTCTACTTTTTATTAAATTAACCAAAGACAATTTCGTATATTTATTAATTTATTTTAAAATGTAATAATTTCAGTAATCAAATAATTATTTAAATCTGATAATAATTTTATAATATTACTGAATTTTTCAAGCACAATTAACAAAAATTATTTAGAAGTTATTGATACATTGACATTTTTATCTCGAAAGAAAGTGAATTCGTTCAAAAACTTCTTACTTAAGAAAAACATTCGTACGATTTTGGAACAATATTTAAGGAAGAAAACACTTTCAGGTATTTTCTTCCTTTTCCTACTCTGTTAGACATCAAAAAAAAAATGGTAATCCAATTTCTTAAATAATACTTTGTTATCTTTAATTTCCTTGCGTGTCAAAATATAAATCAATCCATCCCTAATTAGTTTCAAAGTAAATAACGTCAATCTTAACATATACTCTTAGTAAATAAACTAAATTTGAATTAAATTTAATATGGTTTTTTTCAGTTAAATTGTTTAATTGAATTGTTTAATTTCATTGTTTTAAATTATCGGCAGTATTAACAGTAAAAGCAGTGGCGAAGAAATGATAAAAAAAATGACTCAAATTGGATATAATTTGACATTACGAATTTAACAGTGTAATATCTATGTTCGAAGCAGTCGTCAATGTCAGTATGCTTTCTTTATGATAGATTGCATATAACTTGCGATTGATTCTTCCTTGCAATTATATTAATGTTATATACTGAATGCAGTATGTTCCCTACAAATTTTATATCTCGATGGTTCCTCGTGTGTCGCGGCTGTAAAACACGCGCTCGGTCGGTCGAGGACGCGAAATTACGCTGCCAGGACGAATAAAATCCGGCGCGTGTGATCGAACACCTTTAGACGCGGATATTTTCGGATGACCCACTTCATTCTATCCATCCATAAAGACGATAATTATCGACGATACTAGGAATAGTGGCGACGAGAATGATGTGACAGACATGGGATCGTTATTCTTTGTATGAAATCACTTATGGTGTCGAATAATCTATAAGATACAAGAAGGATAGTGCTATCGAGATAACAAAATTTCATTTTCTTCTCAACAAGTGTTTCTGTTAAATTCATTATTAATTTAATTTTCTGTTGAATTAGTTAAGTTCTCTTTTCGTGATATAATTATTGAATATGAATTTATCACGAAATAGATATCTTTTTCATCATTATTTAATAAAGAAATGATTAAGTACTGATTCATATTTTATATATCTTGAATATTTTTAGAGATCTACAAAGATCATAAATTTTGATTTTTTTTCTAATAGATACTTTATATATCGAATTTCTTATATAGACAATCATTTTAAAAAAATCCAAATACGGAAATAAGTGATGTAATTTTATATTAATATTCGTCCTAATCAATTGCATTGTTAATATACGCATAAGATAAACCTATATTCAATGTTATCAGTTTTTCCAATCCTCCACCGTACATTTTTGTCTTGATTAATTTTTCCTAAAGCGTGGATTCGCGGTGAGAATCGAAGTCAAAACTGGGTCAATCTTTTATTGCATCCCAGGGCCGTACTGGAAAACGGAATAGTGGCGAATAATGCTGATTCTTTTTTGAGCCAAGGATTTCGCCCAAAATTGAACACTTTCATACTAATACCATTCTATATCTTTCATCTAAATACATATATAGATATTTTCATTTCAGTGTGAAGAAAGAACCTACGGACGAGCCCAGCAGTCCTTTAGAGGCCACCAGTCCCGGTTCCATTCTACGCAACAACAACGGTGAGTTCCTGAGAATAATTATGAATGATCTATATGAAGCGTTCATGCCATGGTGCCCATGATAGTCTAATTTATAGAAAAATAACATACAAAGTAAAATTGCGTACACTGAGAAAAAAATATAATCAATTTTAATAAATATTTAGTTCAACATTATCAACTAAACATTTACTTACAGTAAATAAATATTTGTTCAGTAAAAAAGAATGATTATTAAATCAAATTAATATTTTTTGTATCAAATAAATGCATATCATATTTAATAAATATTAAATAAATATTTAGTTGACAGTATTCAAATAAATATTTATTAAAATTGACTATATTTTTTTCAATATAGCAATGTTTCTTATTTTAGAAATTATAAGTGATACAATACTTCATACATGTTATTTTTTTAATAAATGGCAAATTTTAATAAACAACAAATAAGTTTTTGAATCTAATCTATTCGAGATTTCTAAAATTTCAAAAAAAATTGTAATTGTTTGCATGGTTTAAAAATAAATATTAAAAATAGCGTAAATATTAAAAAAATTTCAATGATTTATTATTTATTATTATAAAAACTAAAAAATTATTTATAATTTAATTTAAGACTTTATTCTCTTATTTCTAAAAACAAGCTGTTTATAAAGTTGGTCCATTATTGTGTTGAACGTTTCATACGATCTAATTTGGTAGTGTGATAATTTCGTTAAAATTGCGAGAGGGAATATTAAAGAGCGCCGTTAACTTTTTCTCGTGTTCGCTATTATTATATACGATGTGATAAATAATTCACAAAACGTTGAATAAAAAGAAAGAGAGATTATCAGAGATAAGAGAAACAAAAATGATAGTTATAAACCGTGTTAGTCTGCATAATGCTAATATATCTTAAAATATTATGTGAAGTATGTATTTTTATAGGTTTATTACGCAAATCGAATTCATTTTTCTAATTTTTTTATTTTTTAAAGCTTTTGTCCTGTTTTTCTTCTTAGATCTCGTCTGTTTTTTAGCCGATGCTAAAAAAATATAGACATGTTACTTGTTACTTGAATGAGCTTTCGATAGTACACGATTCTATGACGCGTCATTTATTTCGCAATAAACTTTTTCAATAATGCTGCTTATCAGAGAGATCGCTGCAGATTACTGAAAGATGCAAAAAATTTCTTTTGACCGTGCATCCACGTCAAACCGGTTTTCTTCATATGCAACCGTGGATTAAAAGACGCATGGTAATTCATTGTTAGTCAAATTCCACACGTTGCATGTATAGAGGTATCGAATTTATTCTAAAGATCCTACGAAACCTGATTTAAAGTCTCTATCGTTTCTATGAACCAGACCTACGTATATTCATTTTGGTTGCACGTACCTATACCAGTCGTCTGAAAGATTCGTAGAATCATGAATGCACAAGAAATGTAAAAGAAGTATTACGAATATTGATTGTCGAGACGTGAAACCATGAAGAAACTCTAATTTTTATAGAGATATTTTATGTCAAACCTATAAGTAAAAGAGTTTAGAAATGAAATAAAAACATTCTATTTTTCAAGTAATTACTAGTAACTAGTTCAACTGGGAAATCTCATTTGAAATTTGTTTACCAAGCGAACGTAATGTTGAAAATTGCGATGACATCTCGGTGAAAAAGTTTACCGCGTCGAGTTGTCTCGAGAATCCGTCATTGGGAGGTTCTCGCATGATCTTGAGACATTTGTACACAACGTACGAGTCCTCGCGTGACGATAACAGGACGGCGGGAGAGAAAGGAAGAGAGAATGAGCACCGCTGCCTCTTTACGATGGGATGAGGTTCCAGCTGTAGCTGGCGTTGGATCGATTCAAAAGCGGCAGCAAAGCGCCCCACCCTATTATGTGTTTTCTTCAAGCCCCTACCCCTCGTTCCAGCCCTCCCTGCTTCTCGTCGCGCGAATCCAGCCCACCACCCCCTGCTTGCTACAGCCTTTACTACGCTGCGCACCCCCTGCTGCCTCCTTCCCTCGCCTCGCGTTCTATCGCGCCGGAACGGTTTACTGATGTGAGCCGGAAGATCTCGACGACCGGAAGTTCCCTTCGCGCGCTCCGCTTTAATTGAAGATGGCTTTTTTCTCACCTTTCCTCCCCATTGCTTTTTACCCTGCACCCTCTTGTTCTATACGAGCGTTAAGAATCCGAGATGCAAGACCAAGATTGACCTTTTGGTCACCGGTGGATGGCACCTTAATGGGCAATTGGCTGCCGGGAGAGAGAATTTCTGGAGTCCCCGTGAAATTCACCGGCTGATAGCCAATTAACTACCGGGCCTCATTCGTCGCTGGCCATCATTCATGGGAAGGTCAATATGTCTTTCGGCATTTACGGATAAATCAGAAACGGTTGATGGTAGGCGAGGTCCCTCGTATTTACTTGTTTTGTATTTATCTACGCATGCTGCGTAAAGAGTGTCTTAAGAGCGTATAATAATTTAAGATGATAATTCGTTAAATTGCGCATTATAAATAATGAATGTAGAAAAACAGCAATGTGGTCGATTAATCTTAGTGGAATTCTCTGAAAAAATACGAAAAGGTATAATCCCGCTTTCCGGATTCAGATTAGCTTGTGTGGCTTTCATTACCGTTACAAGTGTAGTTGGATACATTTCGTCGCATTTCTCAGTAATGAAAGGGTTAAGGACGCATTTACGTTATAAGAATATCTCTTTATATAGGTCGCGGAGACATAGCACTATATTATTATCACATTGCATAAGACCCGACGCTCTATAATTATGAGTATAAACTTATAACAGTGTATTCGCTGAATGAAGAGGCGTTAAGTCGTCGCCGAACCGTGATCGAACTCTATTCCACGTTATGTTCCTTGTTCCTTTATTAAGAAATCAATGCATTGGAAATCGCTCTATTGCAATTTATTAATTCTGTATTTGATTTTATATAATATAACATTTTGCTGGAGAGAATTCTTTCATGATCATGCAATTAAGTAAATTCGTCTTGAATATTATTAATGAATTTTCGCGCGTCTTGATTACATTAAAATTCAATTTAGATTATGCCATTACAACTTTCACCTTCAATTATACGTGTAAAAATGCTTGTGAAAAAGCGAGAAAGAAATTATGAACCAAAAATTAATTATTAATATTACCTGACTAATAATTGAATTCATATTTTATAAAATTCAATATATTGTTTAATTAACGGAAAACTGTGGAATCACATCTTTAAATTAAAAAATATAGATATAATTAAAATTAGATATTAAACTACCCAATATTTTTCTACTCGAATATTTCACGGAGATAACAAGCACATATAATGCGTATTAATTATCGCTCATTCTTCAGCTTGTATTTGATTTTTAATATATTTTTTCTTTAAATTATTAATAAATAAATATAATATAAAAAATAATTTCCTCTAATGTGAAGAGAGAGAGAGAGAGAGAGAGAGAGAGAGAGAGAGAGAGAGAGAGGAAAAAGGAAGTGGAGAAAGAACAAGAAAGATAAAGGGAGTACGCGAGAGTTTATATTTTCGAATAAACCGCAGCCGCGGCAGAACGCGAAAGCTCGATGAGGGGAAATGCAGCGTGCGGCTCGCATAATGTAACACACAAGTACAGAGAGAGCGAATCGATCTGTACGTACGTTCGCGCTCGCGCGAGTGCAACCGGTTTCCCAGGTTCATTATACCGCGGAGCCGCGCATCTCCTTTCCCGACAAGTGTGCGCCGTGTTGCGCGACCACACCGACGACGGTAGTCCCGCCGCGAAGTTACTTACGCCCGGACTTCATCCCTTTCTCGTAAACGTTCGTCGTGTCTCTCTTCGTCCCGCCACCGCGCCGTGGTCCACCTCGATCAGGAAACGCGCAGTCGTTGCGCCGATCGTGGAAATAAGTCATCGAACCGCCACGGTTCACGATCGGCTGCGCCGATACCAGCGCGCTGCTTACCATCCTGGGAACGCGGGATAACATGTGTCTAAGATGGCAATAGTTGTCTTCTTTTTCTTTTAGACGTCAATACATCGTAGTCGTTTCGTCGAAAATAGAATCGAAAGTGGATACAGAAGCCCACACTGTTAAATTTATTATGTCAAATTTATATATATA